TTTTTTCCTAGAAAATTGATTTGCATTATGGTCCAACGGTTCTTTCAAGTTTTGATTTCACCCAAAATGGTTATATATTGTATCATTTTGATCTTGAAGTTATTAAACACAGTATGTTTCCAAACCTTTTAGTACAAAATGATTTTAAATGGTTGGATAAATATTGAGTTGATTGATTGGATAGAATGAAGAACTTTTTTTTGTTTATATAACAAATGATGGGCTATAACAATAAAGGTAGTTATTCTTTTTCAAACCTCTCTTCATTCATTTTAAGATTTAAACTTAAAACATTAACATGAAAATTCAAACTATTCGAGTGTCCTTATACACAAATGAAGTAGGTTCTAAGGGTGGCAAATCTAGATCCAATAGATTTTAGAGAGCCTTAATAAATTGAAAGTCTTGGGAGAACTAATTAGGTCATGACGCTTGACTCTTCAAAGATACTACCCCCTTAATTACTAAGTTGCAAAAAGTGCTTTGTGCACTAAGTGAAACATTCAGGATCTCAATGGTCCCCTTTATTTTTTTTTAAGGGAAAATGCACTTGGCAAGCATTTCCCTTAAGTTGTTCCATTAGTCATGATTTAAATATTAAAGCTATTGTCTTATGCTCAAATTGTTAATAGTAATTAGTTTTCATATTTATATACCTCAAAATTGTATTCTTCTTCCCATGTGAGGTTGGGACAATCACACTTTTCTTTTAATGTGAGATTAAGGTATTACAAGATTATTTTCTTGTAATTCATCATCATCAAATATACCAAAAAGACCAAAGCTAATGTTTCTTCCTGAGGACGGATGAGGTTACTATAGCCTCTTTCATTTTATTAAACAAACAAAACCATTTTTATTCTCTTCTTTTCTTTATTTCCATTAATCGAAACATGGGTTAACGTGAATACTGTAATGTAACTTAATAGTGAAACACCTGTGTTTTTTTCTAGATAAACACAATTTTTAGTTCTACTTTACATATTTACATGTTAATATTGTATTCAAGTTAATTTATTTGAAAATTGGAATGGCTGCCTAGCTCTTCATGAGTCTTCTTCCCAGACCCCGAGTAATGCGGTTGATAGCGTTGTTTGTGGTTTTGCAAGGTCAAGACCAATTCAAAATAATTCGTTATTTCATACCTTTGAATTTGTGTAAGGAAAATCATTGTGAAAATGGACAATATGTGACTTTTTATTTTGGCCAGTGACAATCTATGACTTTAGAGTTGATTCAGACTCAAATCTAAGGCACTACAATCAAATGGGAAAAAAGAGCCTAATATAAAATGTTAAAATTTACCAAAAGGTGAATTTTGTAACGAAATTTGTTGAAATTTTGTTGGAATTGTAAATTTTTATGTGTTTGGAAAGAAATTAATATTAAGAAAATTGTACAAAAAATTCAAATGGGTCCACATTAAAAAGTTAGGAGAAAGTTTATACTTTTAAAATATGGGAAGAGAAGAATGCTTATCGAAAATTTTATAGGAAAAAAATAAAATTTACTCAATATTTCCCCCAAGAAAAAAAAAATAAAACTAAAATTATTAAATTTACTCCTCTTTTATCACAGTATTAAATATGAAAGTACAAAATATATCCCTAAAATATTCAAGTGGAAAGTTTGTGGGGAATGCCTAAGTGTCTGAAACTCTTGGAGAAAGTGAGTGGTAAATAAGAGTTTCCTAGCAGAGACTGCTTTTGCCTTTGATTTATTCATACAACAAAAACTGAACCAATTACTAAATTGAAATGCCCATATATCTATATCTTTCTACTTCATCCAGCTTCCTGCAACTCTCATTCGAAGTTGATTTGGAATTTAGGCTCCTTGTTTGGATAAAAGAGCCCCCAATATTTCTCGTATTCTGGAGTCTTTTGATTCTCATTAAACATGGCAAAAATGTAAGTCTCAATAGGCTTACCCGGCCGCTTCGGAGTCCCAACTTTAACATGCTGAATCACATTAGTAATATAAGTCCCAGCATTGTCCATGGTCGTTGCCGTTCCCCCATCCGACGGCCACCCTGTCTCGGACACAACAATCTCAACAGAACCGCCACCCGACTTCTCAAGAGCAGAATACATAGCATCCACCAGTGCATCAAACAGGTTATGCTACTGTAGCGGGTGGTCGAACACAACCGGTCCTGGGGCCGTGAAGAGAGCGTAGTCAAGGCTGATTTGATCCATGTTTTGAGTGTAGCTGAAGTAAAGGTAGACGTTAACAAGCAAAGGAGAATTGTTGTTCACTAAAAACTGGATCAATGGGTCGAGAATTGGTTTAAATTCAGGATTGAAACTGCCCTTGGATGGAGGGTATGATTCTCCCAGGGAACCGGTGTGGATGGCGGAGGAAACTTTGATTCCAAGCCCTGCCGTAGAAAGGGAACTTTGGATTTTATCCATGGCGGGGACTAGGAACTGT